TCAGAAAAGCCAACTTGGCTTTGATACTTTGTAATTAGTATCGAGGAACGCTTGGGTAAAAATACACTTTAATTTTATATAACAGTTGAAATTAATTACTTTTAACTATTTAAAAGTAATCTAGAGTAACATTTACCATATCCCATGTTCTGTTGTCTGCTGGATTAAAGTGGTCAACTCTTTGAGTAATTGTACCCCATTCCGGTGAAGATGCTCTAGTTTCATCAGATTCCCTAGCGGGTGGTATTCCATGACGCATAAATGATATTTCGCCCTAAATAAAGTAATTTATTTCTGTTAGAAGATAGAAAAGGTGTGATTTGATTCATTGGGTTAGTGAACAGAGCAATAGATCTACTATTCTCCCATAATCTTCAACGAATCTTTATAATCATGAGGGATATGAAATTTCAATAATTAGGATAAAATGCTTGCAACTTAGTTATTAATCCTTCTCCTGAAGATGACCTTGCAGTAGATCGACATTTTTTAAACATTCCAATAAACCAAATGAAAATTAAAAAAAAAATGTTTTTTATACACATATTAGCAAAATTGAGTTATTAGTTAAACGATTTTGGCTGACTACCTTAAATAAAAAAGCTAAGAAAATTTCTAAGATTTTACATTTTTGCGCTTAAAATCTTGCAGTACGTACTTCAACTGAAAACGTCCCTGTAGTCAATAGAAACAATGAACCAAAAAATACCCACATTTTTGTCAGTAACACGTTCACACTTATTACTAGTCCACTATTCTGTTTTCCACTATTAAGTGAAGTTCATGTCAAGAAATTCTGGTTTTATAGATAAAGAAATATCTAAATTGACAAAGATTGATATATAAAAAAATCAGTTGATGAGAAAGTTTAGATATCTTTACAATGAGAAAAGAATATTTTTTTAAAAAAGAAAAAACTTAATTTAAATAAATAAATATCTACCTTAAGTCCTTCCAAGAAATTATTTACTTGAGTGTGAGAGAAACAGTAATTGATTCTTTTTTTTATTATTATTTCAATGAATAGAAGTATGTCGAATAAAAAGTTACCCAATTCAAAGAAAATGTATTTGACTGAAACAATCGTGTATCAATTGATATTTATTTGATGATTATTTAATGTGAACTATCGGTCCTCGTAGTGATAATAATTACAGTATAAATTTTTGTAACTCAAGTACAGCAAAGCTTCGCTTACCTGGATCAATCAAAACCTAGGTGATCCGAATTAGTGAAAAATCGGAAACATTGCAGCCTTTTTAGCACATGTGCAAACCATAATACATAAAAAGTATGTTGCAGACTTCCTATACTGTAGAAAGAACATGTTTTTCCACTTAACTTAAAGCACGTTTTCTTCAGCGCTATGATGCGTTATGACGGTCCGAGAATGTCCCGAATTACACGAGGATACAGTGAGTTGTGCATCACAAGCTGTTCACCATATAATCCGGATTATCGAAAAGGTCTCGATATGCTTTACACATATGCAATTAAGCCTTAACATTATAAGAACATTCGAAATAAATTGAGAGCTTTCTGGATTTTCGGGAAATACTGGAGAAACCTCAATAGGCATATATAAAGGGAAGCTGCGAAAGATAGAGTCCATAGTAAAATTGAGCAGTGACAGTTAGTTATAGTAGTAGTTATAAGTAAATAAACGGTTAAGTATATTAATAGAATTAAATTATTCGTTATGGTATAAACGATAACGTATAAAGGATGTACTTAGTTGTGATTCTATGAGAACAAACGGAATAATTCTGTTATGCATGTGGTGAAGTAACGCTGAAAATCTTGAAAACGAAGTTGGTCATCAAGCCAAAGTATGGAAATTTGTTCGCGTACAGTTCTTTTATCAAATCTCCTGTCTTCTTGGGCAGTACAATTTGGAGCCTCCTTTTATTCCACTCCGGACTTTCCTCAATTCTCTTAATGACCAAAATTCTTCATTATTATTGTTTTTCAATTTTAAAATGAGACAATTATTATAAAGTGTACGTTTACTTTCAATAGATGCTAGAAATGAAAGTGAATTTTTTAATGTGTGAATTTGTGAATCATTTTGACAGTTTACACTCATTTTATTAAAGAGGAACGAGTACATAGAACTGTCTAAAAGTTACTAGTACTCGAGTGAGTCAGAGAGGTGTAAGCAATATCTACTTACTTCTCATTCTTACTCCTATGGCGTGTGTTTCAGAATAATACTCTTTAAACAAATCGTAAGTCCATATGCAATACTGTAGTGGTTTTATGTACTTAGCTAACTTTTCTAAGTCAGATCCTGTGTTATTCTCCAGACGTTCACACTCGGCCACCAAATCGCCAGGATCCGCAGTTTGAACTACATCCGCAAATGGTGATGAAAGACTGGTAAGGAAATAAGATCTGTCTGGTTCTACTGGACCTTTTAGAGGCTCACAGGTACTACAAATACAAGTTATAAAACACTATTTACATTTTCCTCTCTATTATAAAGGGTGTAACAGAAATAAGTGCGGACCATGGGAGGATGTAAACCAGAAGATGAAATAAAAACTCCGCATCTAGTTCAAATAAGAGTGTAACCAGTACCGATTATTGAACATCTAAGATAAACAAACAAATTACTACTACACATAGCATTACGATAAAAATAAATTAAATAACTACATTTGTTCATCGCTGGCAGCAAGCAGCACTATGTAAATTACGCTCAAAAACGTCAAACATTTAGCGTATTTCATTTGAAGCGAGTATCCACAGTCATATGGTCATTAGGGTTGTGCACTGGGGTGTGATATATGTGATATGTGATTGTAAATTACACCTCAAGGTGTTTTAAGAACACAAAAAAAATGCATAGTAAGTAGTGTTGTCGCCTTGGTTCGGTATCCTTTCCTTAACGCACTTCTTTGAACGGCACGAAAAGTCTCGATATGTTTTAGGGATATTGATTAACACCAAATTACCGAATTTAAAACACAACACTTAAACAAATAGACCAACACGCTTATTAATTAAAAAATTGAAACTAAAAATGTTGAAGGAAACTGTGACGGATTCCGAAAAAACATTTTTATGTCGAAGATAAAACTGCTCAAAAATGAATTTTGATAGAAAATAATGGAAAGGAATAAACTCTTTTTGGAGTGTAGTTAGGTGAGGTGTTAGGATTGTTAATTGATTGAAGATTTTCAATTAAAGAAAGATGAATATAGGTGGATAAAGATAGTGGGAATACTAAAGGGTCATCGTCCGATCACGTGAACAACGCGTGACGGGGAAGTTTGTGACGATGCAATGAGAGCAGCCTCCAAGAATGATGCTGTTGAGGCAGTAGCATTAATAAATGTTATTGGGATTCAATTTATTTTTGACAAAGGTAAAGGACTTGTGAAGTGAATTCCCGCCTACCTACTTGTCAGTTATTGGTTCCGGCAAACAACACTACTAAACATACATATGCACATACTTGCACTGCACACTTAATTTAACAAATAACGAAACAATATACAAACCATGTACAAAGGAATTCACAAGAAATAGACATTGATGCTGCTAATTATCAACTGATGGAATACAGCGTTGCGTTCTTACATTTGTTTACCAGGGCCAGAATTACATTTACCTGTACGGTGAACATTCGATTTTTCTTAATTTTCTTGCTTTACAGTGCCCTATCGCCTTCTGCAAGCTCCGCGCACCTATTCTTGTTACACTCTTTACTTTCTTTGTGTGAGTATACATGAATAAAAGGAATACCCACTTAAATAATTCCGATAAAGTGGCAGCACCCTCTCGAGTTTCTAGCATTTTCATTGCATCAGCCATGGCTCTTCTGATTAGTTGTGGACAAGTCGGGGATGCAAGGCGTAGACTTTCTTCCACAGCAGCAAAATATTCTACAGAAAGTTGGCAATTGTTTGGTATTTTGTATATTACTTAATCACAGGAATGAAATTTACTTGAAATAGGTACATACCCACCTACGTCTATTCAAAATACAATTAACATAAAAACGCAAAACATTATGTACATAAACTTTGATTTTACGATAAAATTTATAAATCAGTGTCGGATAAATAAGTGTATCAGGATAATGTTCAATACTGTGGAAACGTTAATTGTACAAACCATTATACTTCTTAATATTAAATTTTATTCATTAAACACATTCCAAAATAGTGGAACTGGATTCGTTTTTATTTAATCCTAGTCAAACAAAGAAAAAGCCTACATTATATTAGGACCCTTTACCACTTATCACTGCTATTGTAAATCAAAGAAAACATACTCTTTTATATTGGAAATTCGAAATAATAGGCAATGATTCACAGAAGCGTACAAAAAGCATTCCGCAAAAATATGCGTTGTGATAAACCACTGTGAAAAGGGGTGCCACTCCATACAATACAGTTGCAAATTTACTGCATGGAACAAGATACAAATTCAATAGTATGACATAGCAACAAAGAAACTACTGAATCATGTTGTCATTGGCATTGTATCTGTTATGAACAGCAGCATTTCAATATTAAAAAGCATATTGTTGAAAGTATTTAGGTGAAGAAACTGTAGTACATCATTATATATTTGAGACTCGAATAATGAATAGCATATAACAAAAAATTATTCCTTTGGAATTTTATTAACAAGATTTGAGTGTATGTTTTCTTATCACTTCTGTTTCCCGGAAACGTTTAATACGCCATATATGAATCATTGCCGGTTTTAAACGCCTTATTACGCTAACTAGTACATATCAAATTATTGCCTGCCTTTATGTTCTATAAAAAAAAATATGAAATTATGTCATATTAATAATTCCATTTCATAATTTTAAAAACTTCTTTACTGGTAAATATAGGTACCAATCGTAAAAAAAAGATTAAAAAGTAGATTTAACAATTACTTACAGTTGGTATGGGAGCGGTTGGTTAAGTAAATTATTCATTACAATCTTTGGATAACTTGTAGCCATTATCACAATAGATCTTAAACTTGCTGCCTTAGTTCTGGCACATTCGATTTTGTTGAAAGTAACTAACAATTTATCCATTACCTGAGTTATATGCTCAGGAATATCGCCATTTTTATTTTTAATTGCATAATTAAGAA